GGTGAAGCACTTGCAAATGCTGTTAATGTAAACTGTGAATAAAAGTGGACCTAGGACACTACCTTGCACGACCCCACTTGAGATTTGCCTAGGGTGAGACAATACAGATCCAACTTTGGTTATTTGTACCCTGTTGCTTAGAAATGATTTTAACCAGTTCAGTAATGGGTTGCGAATTCCACAAGAGTACAGCTTCTCAAAGAGAATACTGTGAGATACCATGTCAAATGCCCTAGATATATCGAAGTATAGAACAACGACTAGCTTACGTGCTTCGCGACTACTAGTGATGCAGTTGAAAAAGTCGAAGTGGCAAGTAACGCAGGATCTATTTTTGAGAAATCCGTGTTGAGACCTTGTAACAAGATCCTCCCTAATTAGGTAGTCTGACAATTGATCTTTACAACTTTCTCCATGATTCGTGAGATAACTGGGGTTATATTTATGGGTCTGTAATTGCGGACGTTTGCCCTATCACCAGATTTGTAATGTGGAATTATGAAGCTAGTTTTCCACTCACTAGGGTAAGTGCCAGTGTCCATAGATATTGAGAAGAATTTAAGAAGTAACAGGGTATATCACACCCACTGTTTTTGAAAATTATCGAAGCGAGGCCATCCGGTCCCGTACTAGTGGAAGGTTTAAGGCTTTTAATTGCTTGTACTATTAACTGATTAGTGAACACAATGCTTTCAAGGGAAGAGATAGTAAGGGGAGCGGTTTCACCAGGCATATGTGTTTCTAAACTAAAGTTTGCAAACCAATCACTGAAAGTTCACAGATAGTGGCAGGTTCATTGTAGATTACTTTGTCGTGAAGTAAGTATGGGATTTCCCTCGCTGACTGCATTCGTTTTTTAAGAAGTGCCGTTAAGTTATAAACTTTGGAGGTACTTTCAAGTGCCGTTAACTCTTCGTCGAGGTCCTTTTGAGAACGTAGGCGCTTGATAGATTCAAGAGACTCGTGGATTGAGAGCAATAGTGATATGTCCTTAGTGGAATAGTACTGTTTCTTCAGTTTCCTTAACTTATTACGGTGTGCCCTTGGAATATATTCAGTTCGGTGTCTACTTAATTTCACTATTTTATTTGGGGCAACTGTATCTAGACAAAGGGTAACATTCCTGTAAAACAGGGTTACTAAGGCCTCCAGGGAGTCAGTGGTAAAATAGTCATCCCATTGACAGAGTCGAATAAGTTCTTGGACTAATCCCCAGTCTGTATATTTGTAACTACGACATATTGTGCTTCCTGAGTCTTGTTTGTTTCCTGTATTTAGTGGTGAGAAAGGCAGAGAGCAGAGTACCATTCTATGGTCACTACTGGAAAATCTATTACCAACATAAGTGGATACTGGGATTGTGTCATGACAAAAAACAAGGTCCAAAATGTTGTCCCCACGAGTAGGTGTCTGGACGTGTTGTTGCCATCCATAACAGTCTATAGTGGCAAGTAATTCGTCGAAGCGTTGGGGGCCGGAACTAGTTAGCCAATTGACTTCTGGAAGATTGAAGTCCCCTGCAATTATTTTGTAATTAGCACTAAACGAGGATGCGTGTGCAAACGATTTAGCTAATAACGCATCAGTTTCTTTTGTTGCGCTTGGTGCTCGATAAACACAGCCTATGAGAAGTTTGTACTTATCTCCATGTAAGACAACCCAGAGTGAGTCAGGTACATTATTCATTGTTTCATCTTCCACCTTACTGACTACAAATGAGTTATGTATATATATGAGACATCCTCCACCACGCTTGCAATCTCTGTTTGCACGGTGTACAGTGTAATCATCGATACCTATATGCACATCAAGTACAGAGGATGAGCACCATGACTCAGTAATCAGAGCTACAGTAGGCTTGGCGACTAATAATAATGTCCTTAGTTCAGATATCTTATTGATTAAGGAGCGTGCATTAATTAGCAATATCGTGAATAAGTCACGGGATACTACAAACTGGCTTAAAATGTCACCATAACCTAAATCTATTTGTGCGTCAGCACCGCAAGAATTTATGAATGAAAAGGAGGTCGGACTGGGTGTCTGCACATCGGAGTTGGTGTGCAATGAGGTGGTCCTAGGTGCCATGGGTCGTACCAGTGATTCAGGACACCTGGAAAATTTACCATGTGTTCCTGGATATAAGGGTAGTACAGGTTGGGCCTAGGTTGGCGGTTAAAAGGCATAGCATCAGAAGGTCTACCCATCCAACTGCTATTCGTCATACCGGTATACACCTTCGGGTTGTTTTTATAACTTAAAGGGAATTGTGAAGGAAGGTGCTTTGGCTGCAAGACTTTAGGAGTCTTGGAGCCTGACTTTCTATAAGGTGGAGCATGCGGAACACCTCCAGATATACTTATGTTTCGAGAGGAGTTTTTCGTAACAAGTGATGGTTTGTTGGCATTCTTACTCTCAGCAGGCTTATTGAATACAAAGTATTCTTCCCCATCATTAGTCTCAACCCTGCGAAATTTGTTCATCGTGGTGAGGTTACTACGTTTGGGGGGAAATTTCTTAGAACAACTTGCAGAAGTTCTAGTCATTTTAACATCTTTCGATGAGGCTTTATTTACAGGGGTACTGGTATCTAAATCAGTTCCTAGTTCCATTGGCAGGTGTGGTTGTTGTGTAGTTTGCTGAATGCTAGTTTCAGCACTAGGTGTCTGTTGCTGTGCACGATCCTTATTTGGTAAATCTAAGCTAGAGGAGGTGACCAGGTTATTACTACGCATTATTCTGCGCTGACACGGTGTTTTATCCTGAGCTACGGTTATAGACTTATAACTGCTATTCAGTCTTAAGTGATCCTGACATTTAGTAAACTTACTAGCATCAAGGGAATTACTGAATTTAAAAATGATTGGGCAATTAGCCTGGTTAGACTTTTTACGAAGTCGTTTGCATTCACATGGAACACTAGCCATGCCGCAACAAATCAGGATTTTGTGTCTTACAGTTTTCAGGGGCAGAGAGTCTGGGACGTTGTAAACTATAGCTTGGTGAGAAGAGGTTATACGCTTCATCACCTCCGTAGCCAAGCAGTCAATCAGATTTTCAGCTTTATTTAGGTTGTCTGGAGATATTTTAGGATGCCTTTCTAAAAGACAGGCTATTGGGTCTAAATTCAAAAGCTTATTTTGAGTTACATCCAGTAAACACTTAACCTGGCCAATATCAGAACGGCTCTCCGTGGTATTTGAGATTGGCAGTGACATACTATCAAACTGATCTAATTTTTTCTGAATTTCACTTACTTGCCTCTGCATATCTTTCAAAAGGAGGTTTAGTTTACAGAACTCAGAGTTCTCTAACAGAACATCTTTCACCTGTATCACAGGAGTGAGATCTGCACTCAAACCATTTTGAGAGCTAGTAGTTGATACTGTATTACGAGGCGGTAATGCAGTTATAACCGAATTTAAGCCACTATCTAAAACAATTGTGTTTCTACGAACACGTTTTTTAGAGATTTGGACCATAATTTCAAGAATTATATGACAATAAGCAGTAAATAAATTTCAGAGCAAACACGTGCAAAAATGTCACCAATTTCGAACGTACCGCCAGATATGAGCAGTCTGAGAGCAAAATGCAATCATTGATGACGAAAGTGTCTCAGAGAGGTGGACATCGAGAAGGCTCCATGATGTCTAGTAATGCACATAGACCTAGTGAGTGTAACAGGTTTCGTAGTACATCCTCAACAGATAAGTTACAAGTTGCAAGACAAACACGGTTGTGTTTTACACGTTTGCAAGAGGTGCATACAGAAGTGAACTGTGAACCAGTGAGCAAGTTCAGTGATAAGCTAAATGTGAACTCCAGGCCTGACTCCGAAATGTGTGACGATAACGGTGTTGTGAAGAAGTCTGTAGTTGCAACTGGTAAGCCATTGTTGAATAGAGTGTCACAGAATAGAGTTGCTGCTTCAGAGTGCAGTTCTGACTCCAAAAGTTTACAAGGTATTACTAGTCAGAGTGAAGTTATAAAACCTTCAATGATTTGTGAGGACGAACCAAAATTGTCTACTTCTGTTATTAAAGAGTTTGAAAATGATGAAGTTGACGGTAAAGTGAATATTCGTGAAAATGATCATGATACTTCACAGTTGTCTTTGGTTGATCATGATGAGATGAGGGATATGCCTACTACTGCTAAGTTGAACAAAGGTTCTGTACAACTTGAACGTGAAGTAGAAATAAATGCAGATGCAGTTGCAGAAGGCACGCATACTTGTGAGACCGTCAGTGTGATTGATCAGCATGTAGCCCACCTATCATCAGATGCCAGTGCTAAGCCTGAGCTGATAGTAGAAGACACCAGTGTTGGTGGTCTTGCAGGTAGACAAATTTCTGAAAGCCGAGCAAAAACAGCTTTTGATCCACCGCTAACTTCATCAACTGGAGTCAATCGGTCGTCGTTGGTGCTGTCATCCACAATGAAACAGACGCCCATCAACTCCAGTATCTTCTGCAATGACTATGATAGTATTGGTGCGTTTGAAAAGACGAAATATATTGGTCAGTTTAGTGAGGATAAGCCAAGTGTAAACGAGAGAGTAATTGTTAAATTGACTTGCATGAATAAAGGCATTTCTAGTTTCAAGTTACTATTTGAATGCTATTATCTTTGCTGTAAATTACTCTGTGCCTACGCTTGGTTGACCAGATACGTCGTATGTTTGTTTGTCACTTATGTTCTACGATACAATGACATGAGCGTGTTACCGTTCAGATTTGAGGATATAGCTGATAGAAGGAAGTCAGCAAATGAACTCTGCAACGATTTTGCAACCTAGGGCGTCAACCTGAGAAGGGTTGTAGGCGTACTGCTGTAAGTCCTACAGTTCTTCAAGGGTAGTTCGTCATGCCGGAGTCCACAACATTTTATGTAGTGACTGTACATATGTTTGTGTTAGATATTTGTGTGAGTTCCAATTATTGTAATTGTTGGTTAGTCTTGATTTTGTCCGGACATTCCACAAATTTCAATCGTCAACCTGAGAAGGGTTGTAGGCGTATTGGTGTAAGTCCTGCGATTCTTCAAGGGAATTCTATCAAGACATGATCCGCGAGTTTGTGTGTACTGTTTGTGTATACGTGTGGTGTGTCATATCAATTGGTGTTTTTTGGATTCATTGTGTTTACTTGTTGTTTTCGTATCTTGTTGTTATTGCGTAATTTTGTTAAAATTTTCGTCGTGATTACTTCTGAAGTTGTTTCGAGTCTTCTACATCCGTGAATGAATTGATTGATGTTAAGGACAGCAGATGGGTCGTATACGCCGGGGAGGCTAGGCTATTGCTGAGAATGAAATGCACACGGAGATAATTGTTAGCTGCGGTCCTACACGCCGGGGAGAAAGAGTGTAAACGACTGAGGCTTGCATGCGTCACCGCTACTAGAACTGAGGCAGAATGAGTGACAAGCGATCCCAGTGGTAATTGGTAGTGAGTAGATAAGAGGATGTGCGTAGAGTATCGTGAGTTGGTGCTATGGTCACGTTGCATTCTGCAAGAGTCATTCTAGCAAGTGGCGATTGTGTTGCAAGATGTCAAGAGGAGGTCTCTGTCTGGAGGCGCAGGTCGTCAGCGATGTGTGAGATTGTGCTGTGAGTATGCTTGTGGTGTGTTGGCTTTCTGTTTGTTTTCCATTTCAGCTCTGTCCGTGTGACCCAGGTTCTCGCAATGGCATCCAAGTCAACGTGCATTGGTCGTGATGGATAAAAGGGATTGGATCCCTTTTTTGCCGGGGAGTGTCAATGTAGTTGAAGATTGAACGATCAATTCATGGTTGTTTGCTCAAAATCAACTTCCCCAATTTTCGCGGAGGCGTCAATACGACAGTCATCGTCTCATCGGTCGCTGTTCAGAAAGAAGTCAGCAGTAAACCATCAGAAGTAATCTCGTGATTTATTATTGTAATATTTGTTCACAGACCTTAGTAGAAATAATTTTTATATGTTGGTGTTACAATAAAGAATTCCAAAGCGGCCAATCGGTGTTTTGGTTTTTGCGTCCGTTATTACTAAGCGTTTCTGAAAAACTTTAAGGACCAGCTCTCTCAGTGGACGATTTCACGTTCAGGTTTATTTATTAGTTTTGATTTCTCCTCTGAATTTGGGCACATGAAATCGCGCATAAACACCCTTAGTACTCCAAAAAATATATAAATCTCTGGTTGTGAAACTAGTTGAGGATTGAACGATCAATTCATGGTTGTTTGCTCAATTCTAACTCTGTATTTTTCGCGGGAGTCATCAATCCATCAGTCATCGTCTCATCGTCCCCTGTTCAGAAGAGAACAGAAAACTATCAGAAGTGTTACCGTGATTTATTGTTATAACATTTATTCTTGAACCTTGTGTGCAATAACCTTATCGATGGTTATATGTTGGCGTAAGAATAGAGGATTCTCGAGTTACCATTCCGTGTTCTACTTTTTTGCGTTGGTTATTACAAATTGGTTCTGAAAGTCTTTGAGGGACAGCGCGAGGTCCAGAGTAGTAGGAGCTAGACATTGATGGTTTATGTGAGTTAGCTGACACTTTGTCTGGACGAATCAGTATTAATTTTTTGTTGTTCAGCAACTCATTAAGTTGTCTTTTGTGTTCTTTTGATATCATTTTTCGTTGTTTGCATTGCTCTCTTTGCCACTAGTAATAACAATGAAGTAATGTAGATTTAAATTGCTCAACATCGTCGCTAGACGTTGGAGGCAAGTCATGTGTTCCAGTCATGAGATTTTCAAACTGAACTGTTGTTTCTGATTTGTTAACTTTTTTTCTTAAGAACTTCCTGTGGGCATTTAGTTTTGACAGCTATCTTGGTAGGATAGTTGGTTACTAAGCCTCAACATTAACTGGATGTATAGTACCGGTTGTGTCAAGCCCTGTGAACTAAACGTTTTCTTAATATATCTCCTGTTTCCTTTTCTCATGAGCATGTCACTGCTTTAAAACGTCCAGTGGGGTTTACGACTATGGTTCCATTGAACTTCATCTTGAAAACTGTGTTGGGCGATACAAGACCATCAAACATTAGACGGCGGTGAAGAAAACGGGGAGAGTCCCTCACAGTGCACGTGTGATCAGCGACTAGTGGATAGCATCCCGCTACCTCGATATATCATTGTTTGCAGCTTTGCCACATATATGAAGTGATGTGATCCGTCCCACTATTCATCCCTTTAATTCCCTCCCTTTACTCGGTTCTCTGTCAGCATTTTCATCCTGCTTCATGATTCCTGTCAGCCTCGCATTTTCTCTGAGCTTTATATCCCCTATACCTGAGGCGGATGACCCTACTGTCGTTACGTATTCATAATACACTAAATGACCAGGCAAAGGATGTCATTTGAATATTTTGTCATTACACGACTAATTCATCTGCTTCTTTCTGCATATTGTTTAGGCGACAGGCCCTTGTTTGTTTTGCTATACTTCCAGGATCCCTTCTTACCCAACCGTTCCGGTCATTTGATCCTCAGTGTGGGGTGAAGGCATCTGTTGAAAAAATTACGTAGAGGTCTGCCAGAAATACTTTTGTGACGCGAGCACCAAGTCCCTGAACTTATGGAAGCACTGACTGTCTTTTCACTGGGTACCATCTGCCACCACACTGACCTCAGAGCCGTAAAAAGTGTCTGGATCTCCAGACTGCAGTCGAAACAATGCTGACCAGGAGAGAAAAACAGATGACTCTCCATAGATTCCTTCTACAGCCAATGGTCGTTTCTTCCTTTTGCTATCACAGTGTCTTCATCAACCCTATTTTCTCTGTGTTCATCTGAAGTTTTATCTTTCCAGTTTCTTTCAGTGACTTTTTGACCCCTGCTTGTTGGTCTCCAAGTTTATGGGACACGAAGCATAAGTTATCCGCAAATTCTAGGCCTTGTGGAGCATTTTATTTTGTCCGCGTATGCTGACACCTAAATCCTTACTGTTAGCCCATGATACGGTAGACCAAAACCAAGATAATCATCAGTGATAGTAGACGGAATGGTCCTATTCCTCTCTTCACTTCAACGGCCTATAAATGTTTGTGCAGTCCCATTGCGTAGTGTTGAAGTAATTGAAAAATTACTTTGCAGTCACTGCTTCCGAATTTCATTACATGCGCAGTCGAATAATAGTTCGTAACGTTGCGATTTGGTCTGCATGTGATTTTCTTTCGCCCAAATCCAACCTGTTCTAGGAGAAGCCCTCCATCTAGAGCGTCCACTGGTTCCCCTTCGACAGTTCAATACAGTATTTTGCTTCGGATGGACGTGGCATAACTCAGCGTTAATCCTTTTATAGGCCTAAATCTCTCTTAGCTGAAGCATAACATAGCTTTTCTTCCAGTGAGCGAGTACCTTCTACTCTTTCTGCAGCAGCACAGTCATTATGTCCCCTGAGGTACCCAGGCCCACTCTCAGTGAGCTCAGAGAATTTCTTTCGGGTCCGTATGCATCACCGGCTTTTATTTACCACAGGGCACTCAAAACGTCTGCTATAGTCATAAGGTTGATCTTCACTAGGGGTCTTGTGACTTCTGATGATACTGCTGGCCGAGTTATAGGTGGTGTTCGTTTCGTGAGTCCTTTCATATTACGGCCCAAAGATTTTCTTTGTTTCACTGACCAATTGGGCTTGATCAAGTGTCTTTCATGGATTTCATCTACACTGACCTCTTTCCGAATAACAACCTGGTTATCTTAGATAGTGCTCTAAGAATTTGGTAGCTAACACTTTCATCGAAATAATTATTAAAATTACCAGCCTATGTTTTGCATAATACTAGGAGACGGTAGTTGGGTTTGAATGTGTATTTTGTAGGCGTTATGGTAGGTGTGACTTGAGGAAACCTAGTTAAACATACGGAAGGGTATTGATCATTCAGTGACGTTGAATACAGAAGAACAGCCCTACAAATCACAAGGACAGTATATTTCCTTCCTGGTTGATTGTCTCTCCCACTTGTATTCATTAATCACTAATAACGAGCTGGCCTCAAACTGGATTACATGTTGCCTAAGAAGGAAGGCAGGGTAGCGTGGGAAATGGTGGTCAGTAACACGAAGTCAGCCAAAGTTTCAGAATTAGTCTGGTGTAGGGTGATCGTAAAGAAGGAGCAGTCGAAACCACTCGGATTTGACGAAATAATACCGAAACTTCTTTAGCAATGCAGTGAATGTTGAATGCACCGAGTTTAAGAAATCCAATAGTAGTCAGACAGCTACTGAATGCGTAGGTTAGTGCCACAGTACCCCCCAATTTTTCAGGGAGTGGATTTTCAGAGTACTTTAGTCCAGTCTCACCATTACCAGTATTATAGAGGGCGCTGGCAACATGCCGAACTACCGTGTCAGGAAACATATGAGTAGAAGCAACACCCTGAGTGGGGTTTACCATGGCCTCAAATAGACTGGGACTAGCTTCTAACATGCTAGCAGCTTTGAAAGGTCAGACAACATTCCATGTACCTTTCCTACATCTGGTCAAAACATTTGGTGGTGATATGTGGATGACACATTCACTGTGTTGAAATCTGAACATATCCCTCATTTTTTCACACATAGACTCAATAGCCGACGGAATCCAACTCACTTCTGAGCTGCAATACGAACAGGGTGAGTTGCCCATGCTGGACTGAAGAATTAAAAGAAAACAGGATGGTGGGTTGGATACTAGTATTCATAGGAAACCGACACATCCTAATAAATACTTAGGTTTCAACCCATCCCATCCAGAATCTTTGGAGATAAATCTAGTTAGGTGTCAATATAATTGGGCCAGGAGCCTGACTAGTTAATCAGGTTCAAATAATGAAGTCAGACGAATAAAAAATATTATTAGTGAATGACCAGCCGTCAGAATTTATTCAGAAAAGTATGACAAACCACAGGGGAAAGAGATTAGTAGTAAAGATGACGAAAACAACGAAGAAAATAGTATGGAATTCCAAGCCTGCACAGTACCACCGTATAAAGAAGGAGCGTCAGAGGCCTTACGCGGGATTCTCCGTGAAGCTGGGTTTAGTGTGGTATATAAAACAGCCAACTCCCTGAGAGATAAACTTTGTTGGCCTAGGGACCCAACAGATCCAATTCAAAAAGTAATATAATTTACCAAGTACTATTTAATGGCTGCGAGGTCAACCACATAGTGCAAACTAGTAGATCAGGGTCAACTAGATTATTGGAGCAAAAAATTTATCCAGACCTAAAATGATGATTGACCCTGCTGAGTTAGATAACGTAGAAAAACGCCCAGCCGTTGCGCTGCATTTACTTGCACGTAATCACACAACAGGTGGGGTGGGAGAGGGTGTAAGTATTCCAAAGTAATGTGGTAAGGTGGAGAGAGGGAGAGGTTAACCACTGAAGCTTTTTTATGGACTCAGCACCCCACATGCAGTCGGAATGACATGGCCCCTATGCTGGAGATATGAGTTGTGACGAACAATAAGGGGAAGAAAGAGAGACACAAAGAGAAGAAATACTTGGGACAAATCGTGAATCTGTGTGACTAAACTGACATAACTATGAGCAATCGCTTATGCTCGGAATGTCATCC